CTACGGGACATCTTTATGGAAAACTATTTCCGAAGGGCATCAACATCCATGGAGACTTCAAGAAACAAGCCTAAACCCTAACCCTAACCCTAAACCCTAAACCCTAAACCCTAAACCCTAGACCCTGAAACCTTAAACCCTAAACCCTAAACTCTAAGACCCTAAGACCCTAAACCCTAAGACCCTAAACCCTAAACGCTAGACCCTGAAACTCGCAGCTCTGTAACCAAGAGTCCATGTGGAAATGGCAGACAGCGACCTTACTTCCCCAAAATTACGGGACAGGGTGTTTTAGCGGTTGAGGTCTTTAGGGTTTGGGGTTTAGGGTTTAGGGTTGGGATAAGGGTTTCGAGGTTCAAGGTTTCATGGCTTCGGATTTGGGATTGGGGGTGGCCTAAGGGTTTCGGGTTTGCAGGTTTTGGGGTTCAGGATTTAGGCCTTTGGGGATCTGGGTTATACTGTTAAGAAACTGAGGGCTTTGTTTTTATGGCTAACGGCTGTTTAGGTGTTCGGGGTTATAGGTTTGAAGTCTTTCGGGAGGGTTTGGCTGGTGAGCTCTTCTGTTCGACGGCTTCAGTTCTTGCAAACTGAAGCCAGGCTTCTGCGAGGGCATCATGAAGGAGTTTGGGCGTTTGGGGTTTCGGTTTACTAAGTTTGTTCACATGGCAAAACGTTTTTTGTGGGCTGTGCATGCAAGGTTTAGCACTTCGGAGATGTTGGGGGGTTGGTCAAGTACGGCTTGTACAAGAAACGGCCAGCCACACTCAGAAGAACAGAAAAGACTAAGTTGCAAACCATGCGCGCCCCAAGGCCTGAAACCCTAAACCCCAATCCCCGAAACCTGCAAGCACCCGCCAACTTTCAAACCGAAGCAGAGGATGCTCACCAGTAGAGGGGGCCGCAACGACTTCGATTAAGCCAGGCATACAAAACCTACAATCCTGAACTGTCCCTAAACCCGAAACCCCAAACCCCAAACCGTGAGCTCGTACGTTCCCGCCTAGCCACGACGGCCCTGAACTCCGAACTGCCCTGAACTCGGCTGCTCCCAGACAGCAACCCAAATCCTAAACTCGAAACGCCAAACACCAAAACAAACAACAAAAAGCCTAACTAAGCCCCCACCTACAAAAACAATCCAAAACCCATCTGGCTCTAAACCGCTAAGCCCTAACTTCAAGCCCACAGACCAAGGACCACTCGAACCCCCAGGTCCAAAACCCCCCAGCCCAAACCCTAAACCCTAGACCCTAGACCCGAAAACCCCTAGGGTTTATGGTTTGGGCTTAGGGTTTAAACCCCAAACCCTAAACCAAAGACCGCGAGCGAAGTGCTTCCCGCTCGTCTTTGATCTCATCAAAGAGGCGCAGCGCCTTGCCTGAAGAAGTGCCGGGTTGTCGGGTCGTGTTTTCGATTGAGGTCTCAGGGTGTATAGGGTTTAGGATTTAGGGTTTAGGGTTTAGGATATAGGGTTTAGGGTTTGGGGATTTTTAAGGTTTAGGACTTGGGGGTATAAGGTCTGGGTTTTTGGATGCTCAGAGAGTATGTAGGTTTTAGGCCCGAATATAGGGTCCTTAATGACTAGGACAAGGCATCGGGGTGAAGTATCCCTTACGATAACTATATTGGGAACCCTAAGGCGAACGACTAGCAGTCATGTATGCCAAGCTTCATGTCTATCCGAGGCTCGTGTAAGACACAGTCAATGTTGAACGTCTTGAGGCCGAAACCCTCAATAAACCCTAAACCCCGCACCCTAAACCCTAAACCCTAAACCCGAAACCCTAAACCCTAAACCCTAAACCCTAAACCCTAAACCCCGAACCCTAAACCCGAAACCCTAAACCCCAGATCAGGGCCACCGGCTTTCCGGGCGGGTTGAGGGCCTAAGGGTGTTGGTTTAGGGTTTAGGGTTTCAGGGTTTAGGGTTCAGGGTTAAGGGTTTAGGGTTTAGGGTTTGGGGTTTGGGGCTTTAGGGCTTTAGGGTTTGAGGGTTTGGGGTTTTAGGGTTTGCGGTTTTGGGCTTAGGGTATCGTAATTTAGGGTTTAGGGTTTTAGGGTTTAGGGTCTGGGATTCATTCCACCTGGGCGTGTTGGCACCAAAGCAGAACTTACTGACATGGCTGGTTGTCAAAATTATGGTCCCTTTTTGGGTCCTTATTTTAATACGGCACCTATTATTTAGGGTACCCCAAAAGGAACCATAATTTTGACAACTACCCACATGCACCTGGCCTAAGTGTCGGTCTGCCAACTCCACGATTGTCTCCCTTCTCCTGCTGAAGTCTTGGGATGGGTTTAGGGTTTAGGGTTTAGGGTTTAGGGTTTAGGGTTTAGGGTTTAGGGTTTAGGGTTTAGGGTTTGCGGAGGTCTTGGCTTTAGCGGTCTTGTTCCAAAACCCCGAAAACAAGGCCTTAAACCCCAAACGCTGGAGCCGGTTAGGGTGCGCAGTGTATGTCGCTTCGCTTTCTGGCATCATGGATCTCGGTCAGAGGTGGCTCTATGCCCCGTATTTGGATTTAGGGTTCAAGATTTTGGGCTTGGGGTTTCGGGTCTAAAGATGAAGTTCGGCTGTAGGACTTTAGGGCAAACTCAAACCCTGATATCAGACGAAAGAGACAGGGAGAGACTCATGTAAAACTGGGAAGCCTAGAGCCTAAACCCTCGTACTTAGGGTATCTTGCCGTCGCCCTCGAAGCAACCCTTATTGCAGCCCTTATTGAAGCCTGAAGCCCTAAACGAAACTCTAAACCCAAAACCCCCCTTAAACCTGAAACTCAAATCCCCAAACCCCCCTTAATCCTAAACCCTAAACCCTACGCCCCCCGCTTAAACCTCGAACCCGAAACCCTACACCCCCGTAATACGGAAAGCTTGGTAAAACCCTGACTGCGACTCCTGCCCCCGAGAGAACTCTGGTTCGGGATTCGCAGAGAGAGGTGGACGGCCTCTGTTTCGAGGCTTTAGGGTTTGGGGTTTGGGGTTTATGGTTTAGGGTTTAGGGTTCAGGGTTTGGGGAATAGCACAGGGTTTAGGGTTTAGGGGTTGGGATTTAGCGTTTGGGGTTCAGGTTTAGGTTTAGGTTCAGGTCTGGGCTTTCGGGGTTTACAAACCCTAAACCCTAAAACCCTAAACCCTAAAGGGTTTAGGGCTTAAGGGCTTGGGCTTAAGGGCTTGGGCTTAGGTCTAGGGTGCGTAGTACTCTGCACGAACAGCCGCCTCAGCACCAGTGCAAATGACGGCGAACCCTGGCCTCTATCTGTAGTGCTGCGTTGCATCCGAAGACCTCGCAACTGGGCCCAAGCAATCCCAAACATGCCATTCCCCAAATCCCAACCACGTCCCAAAACCTCAACCCAAATACCTCCAAGCCCCGGAACCCCTACCACAACAGCTCAGAGGCCAGTCGGAGGTGTGCAAATGCACCTTGTGGCTTAGAGCTCAGGGCCTAGAAGGGGATGTAGAGTTGACAAGCCTCTTGCCAGAGGAGGCCAGTGTTTAGGGCCCCGATGAAAGGGCGTAGGGTTTAGGCTCAAAGGCTGAGCTTCGACTTCACTTGGTCTGGATGTGAGCATGGGGGCCGTAATACCCAGGTTTAGGGTTTAGGAACGACTGTTGAGGCAAGAAGACTCCGATGCAAAGAGAAATGAGAGAGCAAGCTCATTGCGCAAGATTAATGCGCCCCGATGGTTGGGAGATGCCGATGTGGGCTTCAAGGCATTCGGGGTTCATGGTCGGGATAGTATTAGACAGGTAAAAGTTAAGTATTCCTCATTGAAGTTAAGTACGCATAACCCTAAACCCTAAACACCCTTTCCTGTTTCCCAACTATGACAGAGTTTGGGGGGGCCGACGGATTTTGGGCGGTGCTGCAGGCATGAGCCCCGAGTCTACAACCCCATCATAGATCCCTTAAAGAACCCTTTAAGAATCCCTTTACAGGAACCCTGTTCTAAGTATAGAACCCTTAAAGTATAGAACCCTTAAAGAACCTTTTAAGGATCCCTCTACAGAAACTCTATTCTAGTTCTTAAGGCCTCTATAGGGTTTGCGATTGTCTGACTGAGAACGTTCTGGGGTCTGTAACTGAGACTCTAGCGTTTAGGGTTTAGGGCTTAGGGTGAGGATCTAGGGTTAAGGGCTTGGGGTTTAGGGTTTCGGGTTTCGGGATCTAGGGCTTCGGGGTGAGGGTTTAGGGTTCAGGGTTTAGGGTTTAGTGTTTCGGGGTTTAGCGGGGCAGGGTTTAGGGTTTCGGGTTTAGGGGTTCAGGGTTTAGGGCCATCATGAACTGCTGCCTGCCTCGACTCAAACCCGAAACACCCCTCACTAACCCCGTAGCACATGGTAACATCCTCACGTGGGCTGGAATGCATCTCCCCCCGACTGATCAGAACAAGAAAAATACAAAAAATGAAAGTTATGTGAGAAACCAGAAGAATATTCAGAAGGGCATCATAATACTTACTAAGCTCATCCTGCCTCCCCCTCTTCATAAGCCTGTGACTTATATAATGATAGCATAAAATACCCCGAAGCCCTATTCTAATTATTAAGGCCCCTAGTATAGAACTCTAATTATCCTAGATTCCTTATAGAGCCCTGTGAAAATCCGTTTAAAGGAACCCTATTCGAAGGGCCCGTTTTGAACGCGATTTCTCCGGGACATCTAAACCAGACCATGCAGGCCTTAAAGAACCCAACCCCTAACCCTTCGCTAATGGATCAAAGAGCCGAGCAGCCTAGGTGTGATGTTTAGGGTTTAGGGTTCAGGGTGTTATATAAGGATCTAGGTTTGGGGTTGAAGGGGGTTTCGTTAACTCACAAACCCGAAGGTATAGAGAACGCCCTGAAACGTCACAGTAGTAAACGTGCACTAGACTTGCAAAGTTTCATCACCAGCTCTGAACCCTAAACGCTGCAACCTGAACCTGAAAACCCCAACACCCCAAGCCTCCGCAACCCTGACACTCGAAACCCGCACACCCGAAACCGGCAACCCGTCATCCGTAAACCCCCTAAACGTCTCAACCCCAGACCGTACCCCCGAAACCTGCAACCCCTAACCCCCAAACCCGAAACCCATAAGCACTACAACCTAGGTTAGGCCTTTCAAGCCATTGAAAGAACAATCATCCTCCTAGGTCCTAGGCTTCAATAAGGGAAACTAATACAGAGGCCTGAATAATTACCTATACTATTTTGGGGGGGATCCTTGTTATGAATATAGTAGAATGGGCCCCAAAACCCTAGTCTAATTATTAAGGCCCCTCTGCAGAACCCTTATAGCAACCCTTATAGTATACCTTTTAAGGAACCCTTTAAAGGAACCCTATTCTAACTATTAAGGCCCCTACATTATGCCCTGTCCCACCGGTCTCCCTCGAAAAGACTGGGCTCTGGCCTTCTCGCTTGCCGAGCGTTCCATCGCTGAGGCGCACTGCCTCCTCCGGACATGTCGGTAGTTCACTAAACTAACTTGGAAATATAGGTAGAATGTAGTGCCAGAATATGGTACAGGAAATTAGGTCTTAGGATATAGGTCCGTTTTACTCCGTTTTTACTGAAGATAAGGGTGACATACTCTTCTGGTGACTTAGGATGGGACCTTAACTTAGAGAACTATCCATCTTGCGATGGTGAAGAGCTACAAACTAGGTTGGCCCTTGAACCCTAAACCCTAATCCCAAAAAAGATTTCTAGGTAGGATCCCTTGAAGCCCAGCAAGCACCGACCTTCCAAAATGCCTGAAGTTTGGGGTTTAGGGCTTAGGGTTTAGGGATTAGGGTTTATTAGGGTTTAAGGATTAAGGTTTAGGGTTTAGGGTTTAGGGTTGCTGGTTTTGGGGGGTCTAGGGTTTAGGGATTAATGACTATATCCTAATTCAGATCAGGGATCCTACCATCGTTTGAGGGTACACTCCTTAATTGAAGGAGTTTGGAAGCTCTGGGTGGGCAATCCAAAATGTTGAATCTAAAATGTCCCAAAGGCCTACCTAGTAAAGAGGTCTGATTAATCTATGCGAATATCCCCTCGCAGTCTCGGCAAGATTATACAATAACAGAAAATGGTTCCTCGGCCAAGCTCCAATTTGTAGAATTTACGGCGCTTCTTTAGGCTTTAGACTCTCGGGTAGAGTTTCCAATTCCCAAGCCCAGCCCCAAAGCCAAAACGACCGGAACCTGAACCAAGTACGAAAAACAGAACGCATCGTCAGTAAGAAACATCACAATGATAGCAAGACCAACGATACAAAGAGTCATAATGGCAACAATTAGGAGTCAGGATTAGGAGGACCCTTGAAAATATAGACCCTATCAATGAGGTCCGTGTTTAAGATAGCCAAAAGTAGGGTTAAGAAGGGTGCTTTTTTTAAGGGGGTCTCCCTAGTACTACCTAGGAACCACGGTACTGATTTAAAAAAAAACACCTTAGGGTTTGGGGTTTCGGGTTTAGGGTACTGATTTTAAAACCACCTTAGCAGAAGGACGAGCTCCTCACATGTTTCGGCACAGCGCAGGAAGAGGGAGTACTGAGCCTGCAAGCATCGCAAACCCCAAACCCTAAACCCTAAACCCTAAAGCCTAAAGCCTAAACCCTAACCCTAAACCCTATCGCAACAGCAAGGTGAGGGCTTAGGATTTAGGGTACAAGGCTTGGAGCTAAGCCAGAGCTTCCGGCAATTGGCTTAGGGAATTTTGTGTGAAGTTCCTCTAGCAAGGAAGGCCGTAGATTCGTAATATAGGGACCTTAAAAACTAGAATAGGGCTTGGGGGTATGGTACACTAGAATTATGATAAGAAACCCCCAAAACCTTATTCTAATTATTAAGGCCCCTAGAGTAGAACTTTGGGCTCCAACCCCGACACTCGGACAACCCCGAACCAAAACGAGCCCAGATCCCTCTCGCCTTATACTCTAAACGGTTTACGGTTTAGGGCTTAGGGTTTAGGGTTTAGGGTTCACACGCAAGGACTCCTCAGCTGCAAAGTTAGATGCTCGCTCTGGGTTTCGAAATATTGCGGGGCGCTGCAACCTTGAACTCTCACTCATGTTTAGGGTTTAGGGTTTAGGGGTTTAGGGTTTAGGGTTTAGGGTTTAGGGCGTGAGCCGCAACAAAGAACTCTGTCGGAGCTGACTTGAAGGCATCACAAAACCCGGGCTTTACAGTTGTTTACGGGTTTGAGGGGTTTACACACTAGGTCTACCAAGGTGTATTGCGTAACCACAAGGGAGCTCTATTCAAGGGTTTCTTATTCGACATTTGCCAACCTCAAAGCCAGCCTTTGCACCTCGAAACTGCCATGGACAAGACCTTTAGCTGTTTAGAGCAATTCTTTGGAAGTATGCTATAGCTTCTTGTGGACTACAGGAGGTCTGGTTCACAAAGCGTTTAAGCCATGTGGCCATGAAGTGAAGGAACACCCGAAACCCGAACACGCCAAAAGATGATGTAAACCCTAGACCCTAAACCCTAAACCCTAGATCCTGAACCCCTTTGTTTAACAGTTTGCTTGATACATGCTCTCGATTCCGCCCATCCCAAAACGACCTGTAACACGTAAACGATTCAAGCACCAACCGCAAACCCCAAACGCCTGAACCCAAAGCCCTGAAACCCCAAACCCAAACCCAAAGCCCTGAAACCCCAAACCCTAAAACCCTAAACCCAATACCCTGAACCCTAAACCCAAAACGCTGAACCCTAAACCCAAAGCCCTAAACCCAAAACGCTGAACCCTAAACCCTAAGCCCTAAACCCAAACCCCTGAACCCTAAACCCAAAACGCTGAACCCTGAATCCTAAGCCCTAAACCCAAACCCCTCAACCCTAAACGCTGAACCCTAAACCCAAAGCCCTAAACCCCGGAACCCTACACCCAAAACCCTGAAGCCTGAACCCTAAACCCTGAACCCTAAACCCTAAACCCTTAGCCCAAACCCCTGAACCCTAAACCCTAAACCCTAAACCCAAACCCCGCAAACCTAAACCCCTAAACTCAAAAACCCTGAACCCTAAGCCCTAAACCCAAACTCCTAACCCTTAACCCAAAACCCTGAACCCTAAGCCCTAATCCCTAAACCCAACTCCCGGAACCCTAAACCCGTAAACTCAAAAACCCTGAACCCTCAGCCGCAAACCCAAAACCCTGAACCCCTAAACCCAATACCCTGAACCCTAAGCCCTAATCCCAAATCCCAACTCCCGGAACCCTAAACCCGTGAAGTCAAAAACCCTGAACCCTAAGCCCTAAACCCAAAACCCTGAACCCCTAAACCTAATACCCTGAACCCTAAGCCCTAATCCCTAAACCCAACTCCCAGAACCCTAAACCCGTAAACTCAAAAACCATGAACCCTAAGCCCGAAACCCAAAACCCTGAACCCCTAAACCCAAAACCCGAACCTGAAACACCGTCGTCGCCTCCCCGAACTCTCCCCCGTCCAGCCCCTGCTCGGCGCGCCGCGCGTAAAGCTCGCCTTCGCTGTGAAGCTTTATGTGATTAGAGTTTAGGGTTTAGGGTTCAGGGTTTAGGGTTTAGGGGTTTAGGGTTTAGGGTTTAGGGTCTAGGGTGTAGGGATATGTGGCCTGGGATCTAGGGGTTCGGGGATTGAGAGATTTAAGTTCTTGCGGCTTCGGATGGGGATTTGCAGAACCCCTACCTCAACCCTGAGCTTGTTAGGGTTTAGGGTTTAGGGTTTAGGGTTTAGGGTTTAGGGTTTAGGAGCGGGGTTTCGGATCGGGGGGAGAGATCTACGTCTCCAGCTGGGGTCAGGAAAAGAAGGACGTCGGGTCGTGGGGGGCTTGGCAGGGGACCATCTTTGCGCTCTAGAGGATTGGGTTTAGGGTTTAGGGTTTAGGGTTTAGGGTTTAGGGTTTAGGGTTTAGGTCATATGTAAAGTTTTCCTTCAAACCCTTTCATTCTCGAGCCTTACCCCTAAGGCTTTTAGTGGGCCGAGCCAAGCCCCCTCCAAAAAGCGGCATCACCCCCTCCGTGTCGACATGGCAGAACAAATCAACGGACCACTGGGCGCGTCTAATGTAGGAACCTGATTAAGAAACCTTGAACCTACAACCCCAATGTACTAGGATCCATATAAAGAGCCCTAATAAAGACTCAAGGTGTCTTCATCGGGTTCCTACATTAAACCCTAAACCTTAGGCTAAGACATGAAAGGATGACTCTGCCATATGGAGCCTTCGGTGCCACAGGCACCAGAGCTCGCAGAGGATGGCTCTGCAATGGAACAGGCGCTGCTGCTCGTAGAAGTAGGTCTTGCTGTGTGCTTTAACGTAGTTGTACGAGGACTGTGATGTATAGTCGACCCTTCATCCCTAAATCCTGAGCCCCAGAATCCTAAACCCAACATCCTTAACCCTAAACCCTGAACCCTAAACCATATAAACCCTAAACCCTGCACCCTCAACCCTCAACCCTAAGCCCTAAACCCTCTGCTTCGGAGAGGCTCAAGTTCAGCAGCACCCTGCTTGCCTCGGACCCATGGAAAGGTGCCACGAAGTAGGGTTTAGGGTTTAGGGTTTAGGGTTTAGGGTTTAGGGTTTAGGGTTTAGGGTTTAGGGTTTAGGGCTTCGGGTGTAGGGATTTTGGGTCTAGGGCTCGGGTCTCACGGTCTGTTCGAGGGCTTAGGAGTTTAAGGCTTCGGGTTTCGGATGTATATAACGTACAGAGCTTAGATTCTAAGACCAGGGTTTCAAAAGGGCTCAGGTTTTTAACTTGGCACACTTCTCGATTGGTTTAGGGTTTATATAGGGGCTTTATGAACTTGGCACACTTCTCGATTAATTTAGGGTTTAAGGGTTTTTAACTTGGTACACTTCTCGATTGGTCTAGGGTTTAGGGTTTAAGGTTTAGGGTGTTGCACTTTCATTTCTGGGATGTGACAAAAGTTTGGAAGCAGAAGCAAAGAATGTCGGGCCTCGGTCTCGGGGACGCGGTTTTCTCCGGGCCTTCAGGCTTCTATGGTTCATTGCTTTAAGCTTCTATGGTGTTTTGTTTGTGCTTCTGTGGGTTTAGGGTTTAGGGTTTAGAGTTTAGGGTTTAGGGTTTAGGGTTTAGGGTTTAGGGTTTAGGGTTTAGGGTTTAGGGTTGGGCCTGGGGCGTCGGCTCAGTCTTGGGGGGTGAGATTTAAGACAACAGCAGCTTCGGGCCCCGAAGGGGAAATCTTAACGAAAAGAGCTGGCAAGCCCTGGAGCACAACGCATAAAACCTAAGCCTAGACGCTTAAGCACCGAAGCAAAGCCCGTAATCCCTAAAAGCCCTGAAAACCCTAAACCCCTAAACCCTAAACCCCTAAACCCTAAAACACGAAACCCTGAACCCTAAACCCCTAAACCCTAAACCCTTAAAACCCCTAAACCAGAAACCTCCGAACCCGGAACCAAGCACCTGAGAACCCTAAACCCTAAACCCTAAACCCCTAAACCCCTAAACCCCTAAACCCCTAAACCCAAAACCCAAAACCCCAAACCCGAAACCTCTAAAAACCCAAACCCTAAACCCTAAACCCGAAACCTCTAAAAACCCAAACCCTAAACCCCAAACCCTAAACCCTAAACCCGAAACCCCTAAAAACCCAAACCCTAAACCCTAAACCCGAAACCCCCAAAACCCCAAACCCGAAACCCGAAACCCGAAACCCTAAACCCTAAACCCGAAACCTCCAGTCC